TAGCAGCAGCCCATGCCTTCCTAGAGATACCCATCTCACACATTCAACAACCACTGCTTTAGTTTACTGAGGTCATTCAACTAAAGTACTTACATGGATTTGATGATGGAACACTTTTTGCTGGGCAAGCATCTGTTCTTGGCATTGCTTCTCCACCAGTCTGAACAATCGTAACCACCTGGTCTATTAAAGAGAGACAAAATAACATTACCCTGTCAGTTTTAATTAGTTTTATCAGTTCAGAGGGAACAGCTTAAGTCATACAATGAGGATCTCAAGCCACATTTTATACAAGTGTGCTTTGAGACAAAAAGTGCCTCTATACAAAACAATTTTTAAAGTGAATAAAACACTTACTGCAATATTTGGACACTTATGTCTTCATGATAAAAAAAAATACTTCAACACCCATAAGTTAAAAAGAAGCCCAATTCCTTTACTGACTCAACATATTAAGTGTATGGTGGAGCCACAGTCAGCCTTAAGCTGAATATGGATTTTCCAACATCATTGGCTTACTACATGCTAATGTATAAGAGAGATATCCAGTCTATTCCAGGCATAGGCAAACTTCTGCCCTCCAAGTGTTTTGGATTTTAACTCCCATAATTCCTAACAGCCAGTAAGCTGGCTAGGATTTCTGGGAGTTGAAGTGTAAAACAACTGGAGGGCCAGAGTTTGCCCATGCCTGGTCTACTCCATATCTACTACTCTAAAGTTATCATGGTGCTCTTGGCTACACATTCATACATTGCATAACCCGGAAGCCTGATATGATGGGCTGGTGAGCCAGTCTGTAGAGGCACCGTGATGTAGCACCAATATGACACTACAGATCACGTCCATGGCAAATCACATTTGTCCCACACAGAACATCACAGCAAAAGTGTCAAGACTCATATACATTTTGAGAACAGACTGGTTTTATCAGATTATGTAAATCCAAAGCTTTTGCCATTATTGATAAAACAGTTTTAAAGCCCAAACTGTTGCATACTTCACAGTTCTTCAGTATTTCCAAGTCTCCACAGTTTTGAGTGTCTTGCATAAAGGAAGTCAACAGACCAGCCTCAGAAGGTATTACAGAAGGGCCTGTTTTCCCTGAAAGGCCAGCAACAGCATTTGGGCTGGACAATGGACTCCTTCTAGGGAAGAAAAGTACATGAATTCTTGCTCAAATATTGAATTCTATGTCAAAGACAGAACAAAACAATATTTGTAATGCAGTACAAAACCCACTTTGATTAGAAGACAAGATGGAACAAACCACAGGAAAAAAATACTTGTCAACACAGCTGAAGAATTTCCAGTTCTTAAAAAAATGTTGTTATATCTAGTAGAAATGCCTTATGAACTTATGGCATTGCGTATCATTACTTATTTCTTTTTGATAGGATTAGCTTATGAAGACTAAGAAAAATAAAATAAACAATCACTCTTGCCTTCATAGACATCATTAAAAACATCAATGATAAGAAACTTTATTTTATTTGAAAAGTCAGATCTGTTGAAGCCCTGAATGGCACTAAGAAATTCTTTAAATAAATATTCTGTAGAAACCATCACATTTACCTGGTATTAACTAAGTGATAACCAACACTCTTGTGTGCATTTTTGGTATTGGTGTTCACAGAAGAGGCCTCTTGCTCGATTTTTACCAAGCTGATGTTTTCCATATCTCATTCTTGAAAATTCTGTGGTTATCCTTTTAAACAAAAAATAATAATACAAGATGGGATGTCACTGTTAAAGACATAGAATCTATGTTACAGTATTTTCAAAACCTAAAATTTCAGAAGAGTATGTTCTAAGCTGTAAAATGCATCCTGCAATACATGTGATGTAAAAATTAAGCACCCCTTGATCCATGGTGGATTACTGCTTCACATTTTAGAAAATCCACTCACCAGAAATATGAACTTATTTAATTTGCATCCTGCCTTCCTCCCAGCATGGCAGCTCTGAAAACAGAGCAAAAACGCAATGAAATTCTTATCAAGGAATTCAGCAGCACTGCCTTACGACATAGTAGATCAGGCACAGGAAGCATGTGGCCCTTCAGGAGTTGGATTTTATGCCATCAGTCTTCAGAACTGGCTATGATGTATGGGAGTTAAAATCCAACAACATCTCAAAGGACACATTGAGCTCTACCAAATCATCTTGAATAGCCAACATTTTCAGGAACAATGTATACATTCTGAAAATTCAGATTCATGCACACAAGCAACATCCCAGCTACATGCCCTTCTACTGTGTTCATTATACCAATGTGACTGGATCCAACAAGAACTCCACATTCACAACAAATGGCGCATCTACACTGCATTTAGTTCAGTTTCTCAAGTTGGTATTGAAGAAAGTGGTTTCACTGCACATATGATTACATTAAAAAGTCCTGGAACCAGTTTGAGGCCCAGCGAGTGATTACACAGAGATCTGATGTGCATTAAAGGCTTTGCATGCTTTTGTGGGGGTTTGTTGCCTGGCTGCCACTGTTTAAAGTCAGCTTTGAAATGCATTAAATGGTCAGTGTAGATGGGGCCAAAGAGGAATTCTCAGCTATTAAGAATCCATACTGAAAAGTCAGGAGGTAGCAATCTTTCACTATATTATGCCTGACCTACTTCTTCCTTTCCACAATTTCTTGTGCATGAATTATTTGTATGACAACCTTGCTCTCCTAACACTCTTAATATAACCCTTTCAAAAATACTCAGCCCCTCCACAAAAATCTGACTAGATACACGCAATACCACAAAATATAAAGCTTAAAAAATCAAAACACCTATCAAATAGTAACACTGTATTTACCCAGTAACAACAAGTTATCAACAGCAAGACATCCGAAGACTGTTTTATTACATGGATTACAGAAAATCATATTTGATTTTCTACTTTCATAAAATAACACAACAGCAAACAAAATAGCAGTAATGATGACATGGTCCACTTTCATGCAAGAGATAACAAATTGTCAAATAATTTATTGGATAGTCTAGAATAATGGGAGTTATGGGGAGATGATAGATTATTCATCTTTAGCTATTATAAGCCGCAACAGAGAGAAAGAAAGAAACTGGAAGGGATTTGGGAACTGGGTTTCTGTGAATTTTCCAGACTGTATGGCCATGTTCCAGAAGCATTCTCTCCTGACGTTTGGGAACATGGCCATACAGCCCGGAAAACTCACAGAAGCCCTGTCATTCCGGCCATGAAAGCTTTCGACAACACGTCAATTTAGGAACATTTGGAAGAAAACTCAGATGCATAAAATATTATTTTTAGGGAGGTAGGGAGAGAAAGCACTACGATGCAACTAAGATATGACAGGCAGTCTCCAACTTGTAGGCATCCAACTTACATGCGACTCATAGTTAAAGACAGGGATAGGACAATAGGAAGTGAGATAAATTCTATCCCCAGGAAAAGAAATTCACTCCTGGAAATGAATTTTGAAAATTCCCAGAAGCCCTTATGGTTGCTTAGGGCAGGAGGTTGCTTAGGGCAGGAGGTTGCTTAGGGCTTCTAGGAGCAAAGGTCCACAACGCTGCAAAAAGCCAAAGCATGTAGATAGAATCCAACCACAAAGCAACCGTCTCCCAAGTGTTTTGGGCTGACAATTTCCATAGTTCAAAACTGACAAAAAAGTCATGGAGGAGGATGGATGCTGAGGTTCAAAACCGACAAAAGGTCCACAGTTACTTATGTCTGGTATGAAGATAAACACTGCAGTAATGCTGACTGGAAATACAGATAACAGCAATTCCCAGAACATGGATTCCCTCAGTGAAGCACAAGATCCAATCCTCAAAGCCGATTTTCCTTTTTAACTCCCTAATGGTTCAGTACCTAATGGCTGAACCATTTCACTACACCATTTCATTATTATTATTATATTATTATACCCCCTTTTCTCTCTGAAAGCTGCGAACAGTGCTAAAAACAATACAAAACCTAAACACTATTAACACTAAAACAGAATGAAACCTAGTCCTTTTTAAACATAAATTAAATCCCCTAAAACCCATTTAAAACATACAAAACACCACAAATGTTCCGTCTCACTATTATTATTATTATTATTATCATTATTATGATTTATATGCCACTTTTTCTCTCTTAAGGGCGCCTCAAAGCAGCAAGCAGTGCTAAGCACGGGACAATATCAAACCCAAAGACGATGAACACTCAAAAAAGAATAAAACCAAACACGATTTAAAAATAAGTCAACCTCTATTTGAAATGCATGAAACACCACAAATGGACCCTTTGACTCTTGCCATTGCCCTCCATCAGGTCCACCAGAAGGAGGTTGTGGGGTCTGGTTCTCATTCACTCCAGAAAAAAAATTGGCCCGAGGCTGAAGCCACAAAACGCAGCAATAACAAGCCTATCTTCCTCTCAGGGTTTTCCTCATTGCCCCTTTCCTCACGCTTCACCCTGATTGGCCCCTTTCAAGACGTTGGCCGCCAAATTGAGCCCCGATTGGCTCAAAGGGCTGTCACTCCGCTCTTTGGGGGCGTGCCCCTGAGTGGAACTGAGGGCGCAGAGGGCCCTTCTCTTCGCCGACCCAGCGCCAAACCGCGCTGCTTCCCAGGTCCGTCCTCCGCCTTACCTGCATGGCGGCCCTGGGGCCTTCCGGCGGAGAGAGCCGCCTTCCGCCTTTGGGGCCAGCCGCAGACTGTCAACAACCTCCTCTCCCGCCACAGGATTGGCGGTTGAGATTCGAAGCGCTTCGAGGCAGACGCGAAAGGCTCGCTGAGCCTCGGCGCTTGAGTGGGGATTGGCTGCCTCGGGGCCCCACTCGGTGCCGCGATTGGCTGCCGGGACGAGGAAAAAGGAGGAGCGGTTCTGCTATTGGTTGCGATGGGCTCGCGCCGTTCGACTTCCCAAAGCAGTGCCAAAGGAAAATGACGTCGTGGCGTGGCTATCTGCTCGGCGATTGGTTCTTGGCGGGCGTGGGCGGGGATTAAGTTTATTTTCCTACAACGCGCTTTTCCGCTTACTTTTTTTTTTTCAACACAGGTGCGCATGCGTGGAAGGCTTGCTCGCGAGGCCTAGTCTACTCTGAGACCCGTCGCGTCCCGTTGAGTCAGGAGGTAAGCGAGAGAGAGAGACTTCGTGGCCGCCCCTTCTCTTTTTCAGGAAAGGCAGTGGGGGCTCTTGGGATGGGACTGAGAGGAGACATGATAGCCATGTATAAATACGTGAGAGGAAGTCTTAGGGAGGAGGGAGCAAGCTTGTTTTCTGCAGCCCTGGAGACTAGGAAGTGAAACAATGGCTTCAAACTACAAGAAAAGAGATTCCATCTGAACATTAGGAAGAACTTCCTCACTGTAAAGAGAGCCGTTCAGCAGTGGAACTCTCTGCCCCGGAGTGTGGTGGAGGCTCCTTCCTTGGGAGGCCATCTGTCAGGGGTACTTATTTGCTATGCAATATTCCTGCTTCTTGGCAGGAGGTTGGACTGGATGGCCCATGAGGTCTCTTCCAGCTCTGTGATTCGATGACTGATGCCATGAAACTCCATGGGTGACCTTGAGCCAAGCATTGTCTCTCCTACTGGTCTCCCTCGCAGGATTGTTGTGAAGGGAAAAAGACGGGGCATTGGAGGAAAGCAAGTAGAGACGTCACTAAAAAGACTCACACTATCGAATGCATGCAGTTTGATCCCACAGGAACTGGCATGCCTCAATGCTATGAATGCAGGGGAGTTGTAGTTTTACAAGCACTTTCTCTGCCCAAACAGCAACTCCCATGACTCCATAGCATTGAGCCATAGCAATTAAAGCTGTATCAACGTGCCTACATTGCAGTGTAGGTGCAACTATAGTTCCAGAGGGGATCTCCCATCTCCCCCTTTTCCTGTGTGCAAAGTGAAGGGTTTCCCTTCACTTCAAATTCCATGGCTCAATGCTAGGGAACCCTGGGAGTTGTAGTTTGGGGAGGCAGCAGCTCTTTTGTGTATTAATTGTGCATTAGATTAGGCTATTAACTGTTTATATAGGTGTTGAATTCTGCTGTGTTCTGTGTCTTGTGAACCGCTGTGAGTTGCCTTCGGGCTGAGAACAGCGGTATAGAAGCAAAGTAAATAAATAAATAAATAAAATTTTGGGCAGGTAAGACTTTTAAAAACCATAATTTCCACAATTCTTGCTGATACATGTGCTTAATCCCAGGATCTTTTATCTCAGTTCAGGGACAGGTATATCAGCTCCCTAAGTGAATGGGGAGGAAGAGGAAGAAAAACTGTCCCTTGGTAATGTTTTTTTTTTTCAATCAGGATCTGCCAAGCCAAGCAGAAAACTTTGCAGACTGGCCTGGCAGTCTGCATTTCTGACTAGAAGGCAAGGCCTCCTTCGATTTGGGAAACTGTCTCAGGCCATAGTCTCAATCCAGGATGGGAGAAAGTGGTTTCGTTCTGCTGTTGTTTCCATAGGAAATCCTGGAAACAGTGATGACCCAAACTGCAGACCACTGATGCACATTAAGGGCTTTCCTTCACATGCTTTCATGGAGGTCTGTTGTCTGGCCACCACCATTTGAAGCTAGCGTTGAACTGCATTCAGTGGTCAGTGTAGATGGGGCCTCGATACTGAAGTATCAGGCCCGAACCACAAATTAGCATCAGCAGAGGAAGATGCACTCATTTTAGCTGAGGAGACTGAAAGCATTTAAGACAACAGAGTCGTGCCAGGAAAACGTTTCTCTCCCTGATAACCTCTTTACGCTTGCTGATGGCATCCTCTCTTTGAGTCAACTCTGCGGAGATATGAGTGCAATCTCCGCTGTTCTTACCATGATGAGCCGCTGCCCAATTCTGCTGAAGTGGGCCTCCAGTGGTAATGCTGCAGCAGTCTTCCTAGCCGGCCCTGCAGTGGCAATCGTGCTGCAGCCACTTTCTTTTCCCCCCTGCCTCTGTTAGTTCCCTGGCAACTGGGGTGGCAAGCATTGGATTGTGACTTCACTGCAGAGAGAGGGAGAAGGTTGAGTGACAAAGAGTGAAGAACAAGATTGCCCCAAATTCTCTATCTTGACGGGGCAAATGTTGTTCCTTGTTTATCATCTGCATAGTACTTTATGACAGTTGGTGAACACTCAAAGAAACTTGTTTTTGCCCACCATACCATACTTGATCACATAGGCAAGTTGTCTTTCACTGTGCAGTGGAAATGAAATGGTGTTGCTGTTCACCAGGAACTGGAAGTGATTTGGAATCAGCACCTCAGGGGTAGAAGTGAGCAGAATAAATATCCTGAGTTTGATGAAAAATTAATGCAAAATGGCCAGTTGGGTGGCCATCTGTCAGGAGTGATTTGCTTGTGTCTTCCTGCCTTGCAGAATGAAGTTGGTCTGAATAGCCCTTACAGTCTCTTCCAACTCTAGGATTCTATGAAAATGGACTCAAAGTTGCTTTTAAAAACAATCTCCAAGCTCTTACCCTCATACGTATACTGCCATTGTAGCTCTGAGATCCCAAGACAGAAAGATTTAATTTTTTAAAGCTCAGAATTCTCAGATATCATTATTATAGTACTTGTTCATGATGGCTTATTGTGACCTTTTTAAAATAAAAAAGTTGGACTTCAAAAGTTTCCAGATTTTTATCTAGCCACTTTTTGTGTCCTTGGCAACATTAAGCTTCATTTAAAAGTATTTGGAATGACTGACCTATTTTGTTTTATGGTTTGGATCATAATGGGAAGAGGTTTGTGCTGAGTATTAAACCTTCCAAATGCATTGGGACATAAAACAGCAATGGAGTTTTCATTTTTCCTCTTGATTTCTTGCTGTGTAGAGCAAAACCCATGGAAGTGTATTTGTTACAACAGATACTGGAGGAATGGGACAATACAGTGGAGTGAATGCTTGTACAAGGCAGCTGATTCGGCACTCCGTAGCATTGTCCAAAAACATAAAGGCATAATGTAGAGCTCCAAGTGGTAGCCTGGCAGTCTAGGGAAGGTTTCAATTGTTTGCCCAATTCATTTGTAATTTTTTGTCATATGGGCATTTGATGTATGAGTCCCAAAGGTATATATTTGGAATCATGTTAACAAAATACCCACAGTTCATTACTAAGGAATGTATTTCCCCAAATGAAACAGTAGTAGTGGTGAGATCTTCAGCACTTTCAAGTTTTTCCAGGAGACAGTGGTTTCTACTGCCACCAAGTGATTGTTTCATTCAATTCATGGAATGCTTCAATGTCTCCTTGCTCTTTTCCACTTTGGAAAGATTCTGTAAGCAGAGTTCAGGATCAATCTGAGACAAAAGCCAGTAATTATGTGTAATTTAGGTATGTATCAGCTGATTTGAATTGTTGTGTTCATGGCATAACATTCAATATCAATACTACACCATGGTTTGTGATTTTATGCTGGTACAATCACCAGAGCATTATCTTACCCACACTTCAGATATATACGGCATCAACATATTCTTTTCTTCTAAAAAGTAACTTTCCAGCTATGGTTCTGGGGTTGGGAAAGGCAGTGGTTCTCAACCTGTGGGGCCCCAGATGTTTTGGCCTTCAACTCGCAGAAATCCTAACAGCTGGTAAACTGGTTGGAATTTCTGGGAATTATAAGCCAAAACGCCTCGGGACCCACAGGTTGAGAACCACTGCTCTAAGGGAATAGAACCCAAGGAACCATCTAGCAGCTCAGCTCATGTCGCATGACATGATGTTATTCTTTGGTGACACTGATGGGTTTTGACAATAGGTGAGGTCAGATCACCAGACATATCATTTCTTTTGACACTAAGTCCACCCAGGGACTTAACTCTCGAATGCTAAGTCAGCAGGAATAATGAAAAGGAGCAGCTGACATTTCACACCACACTGGAATTGTTGGAGAAGTGGGAGAGAGAAGAGTCCCATCCACCTCTATAGCCACACCACAGGGCCATATAGTACCGTAAAGTACATGGAATCATAGAAAACACCACTGATTCTATGAAAAAGAACTCCTGAAACTTTATTTTATTTGGGGAAAATTTGGTTTTGTGCATATAATGTTTATGGACTGTTGTTTGGTCAAGATTTTCTGACTGCTATTAATCTAGGCCTTTCTGCTCTCTCTTCTTTCTCTTCTGCAGTAGTCTGCGGCTCTGGAGGTTTTTCTTTTATGCCTCCTTCAGGCTTCTTGCTCTTGAAAAACACGCTGACCAGACTGGCTGGTTTCTCTCAAGGACCAAGACTCTGGGAGGGAAAGCCTTTTTTATTGCCTCAGTGGCCTGGATCTTTGGTCCTCGCTGTGAGCAAAAAGAGCTCCAACAACCTCCTTCCTCTAAATGAAGCTGATTTGGAAGAGCAGTTTGTCCGTGGTTCTGGACCCGGAGGCCAGGCAACGAATAAAACCAGCAATTGTGTGGTCCTGAAGCATCTTCCCTCAGGGATTGTAGTCAAGGTGATTCATGTTGCTTGATTTGACATGTGCTTTTGTGCAAAGCTCAGCAGTCTTGGGAACATAAGACTCCCCCTTATAATGAATCAGACCAGAGCTATCTTGCCCAGCATTGTCAGCTCTGACTGGCAGTGGCTTGACTCTCCAGTCCAGTGATGCTTGTTTTGGCAGGATTCTTTCATAGCTGCCCTAGGGATCCGTGCAATATCTCAATGGCATTCCATATAAGTACTCATGGTCTGTTTGTAACTCAATTTCTTGTATGCACTGGTTATGTTGGTACCATCCTACCTTTCTGACCATCATCAAACAGCAGAGTACAGTTTTCTAAATTAATTTGATTTTAATTTTTTTCTAGTGCCATCAGACTAGATCAGTAGAGGAGAACCGTAAGAAAGCCAGAACGATCCTCCAGGAGAAAGTTGATGTTTTCTATAAAGGTGAAAGCAGTGATGTCCTTATGGAGAAGAAGGAATCAGAAAAGAGGAAGCAAGAGAAGAGGAAGCAAGCAAAAGAAAACCTTGAAAGGAAAAGAAAATTGAAAGAAATGCAGGAGTTGGATAAAAAATAAGGATTTGAATGCTGAAGGGTATATCTGGGGTTTTCTTTCTGGCCCTTTGTTGTGATTTTGAAAGCACCCATTTGGAATCACAAGATGTTACAGACAAAACATTTAAAAATGATGGTAGCACTGAGGTGTTGTAACTCTTTCTCCTGTCAGAGTCGTAATCTTCTGTGGGGAAGAGCTGCAAAATGCTCCTCTAACCCACAATATTTTGATGGACTATTCAATAAATTTCTTTTGAGCAAACTTATCTTGTCTCGCTGTTGAATAGTATAGATTTGTGGAGCCCACTATTATGAATGCCATTTGGTTTAAAGCAAGACCAGGGCAATTTATGATACTGTTTTGAGTCTCATTCAAGAGGAATGGGGGAATAATAATAATATCCTGCTTTGTCCTGACATGGCAGAGTGGATAGCTAAGCAAAGATTTTTAAAGCAAATTCTCCCTAAGTCACTGGTTTAGAGGCAGGACAAACAGATATGGAGAGCAAATGTGGACCTCATTTAAACAGGAAGTTGAACATGGAGGTTTTATGGAGCTAGTTGAAATGCGATTGGTTCTTGAATTTCACTTGAAAAGCACTACAGTCTCAAGCTTCTGGTAAGTGGTACAGAGTCTTGAGCACTTTCCAGAAAATATTCCACAATACATACAGGAGGTCACTGCTCCTGCCAAGGATTGTACTCTACAAGCTCAGCTCTTGGTGGAGTTTCAGGAATAGGAAAAGTAACCAAAACTTCTTCTATAGGAGCAGCAGAAAAGCTCAGACCCTAGCGCCAAACCCACTCTTCTGGGGGTTCCCAGAAGCCCCCCCCCTCTGGTTTTCCATGAGCCCCTCCAAAAAAAAAGATTCTAGAAGACTGAAATTCTGGACTGGTTTAGGGTCTTAGGAACTTCTGTGTTTTCAGTTGACTAGCAATACGAATTGTTACTGAAAATAAGCTTTATTACATCAAGTAATAAATACATACAAAGTTGCAAAGTTACTGTTGAAATCTGGGAATCAGGCATACAGTTCTTTGGGGCCCTGTGCCATTTTTGAATCGGATGATTTTGTAGAATTTTGTCCTGTATCCGTGGACTCTGAAACACATAATAGTCATGCAAAAGGAAATTGGGAGGAGGAATTGTTTTTGAATGAAATTTATGCCGTGTACAACAAATTCCAGGAATTAGGATGTTATTGGCTAAGAAAAATAAATGGTGGCCTCTGTATTCACCAGGTTTAACTCCTAAGAATAGTTTAGCTGTGAGGCAAAGCCAAAAACAAAATGGGTACAGAAATTCAAGTAGTCATTTTCAATCAAACATTTGTACTTTGAAAGAACCTTTATGCATTTCCTGTTGTGGGAAGCCCGTGTTCGTCATGGAAAACTTGTATTTTGGAAGATTCTGGGATGTATTTTGGGGGCATATGTGCCAACCCTGTTGTTACTGACTGCCCATGTGAATGGACAATGTGCCTTTGAAGAATGGTCTAGCCTTTGACCCTCCAGAGGTTTTGAGCTCTTTGGGCACAGAGAATTGAGGTCCAAAATACCTGTAGGACCAAAGGAGAGAGTCACTGGTCTTGTGAGGAAGGAGACCCTGGAAAGCTGCTGAGGAGGCTTCCAATCCCCAGGAATGCAACCTGAAAAAACACTGGCTTATGGAAACAGTTGAAGAAAGAGAACATGAGAAAGCTGAGCTTGGAAATGTTTTTTTCTGGACTACATCTGCCAGAATCCCACAGCAAGCATGACCACTGACAAGGATTCTGGGAGTTGTGTTCCAAAAAGTAATAATCCCAGGGTTTAAGAGAAAAACGGAGGGTTCGGGGTGGATACAACATGCAGGACCTTTTTTTTCAGTCTTCAAACTGAATGCAGGGAGTGTCTGGATTTCAATGTTGCACACTCTCCTACAATTGACTGTCCAGTTTCCAAAACTAAAAAATGAGGTTCAGAGGATTTCCATTAGCTTTTTTTGACTGTTTCACCATGGTGATTAACAGCTTTTGAAACAAGGTACCAGGACACGGGGATATATTTGTTCAAAAGAGGAGGGGGGACCCCAATTCTCTAGTGGGTACCCAAAGCTATTGGATGCATCCCATATAATGATTTCAATCCCTGGCCACATTCTTGAAAATTGGGCAAGTGGAGTAGAACAATCCAGTTAAGGAGTTTGTCTGACAGTTTCTCTAATTTCCAAAAGAATGGATGTCTCTTTCTTTTTGAAGAAAAGAGATGGAAAATCCTGCAGCTGGGAAAGGGCTAGGATCTTGCATTCCTCTCAGTTTCTGCCAAACACTCTCTGACTAGTCCTCTTGCGTGAATGATGCCTGCAAAATAAACAAATAAATATATCACCTACTCAAATAGTCTTTGAAAATAACTGTACCTATCTGTTCAGAAGATGAGGTCATAACTTCATAGGAAATAACCAAACATATAAGGCACAAGCTGGTTGGAAGTAATCCTCTGTTGCCTTCATGCAAAGGTTCAACTGCTGTTCATTTTCAGAAGGCCTCGGTTTGTATGTTTAATTCCTTGACCCCTCACTTTCAAAACCTTTAGTGACTCTCAAGATATGTATAAGGAAGAGTGTTATCTTCAGACATTCCCCACCAACCCCAAAATGTGTTTTAGGGTGTATCACAGGAGTGGGTTTATAGTAAAACAAGTTCTTTACAGGGAATGGAAAAACACCTTGTAAATAGAAATTTCCAACAGCAGAAATGCGATAGAATCTTATCTCTTCTGTGTATATAACATTCTGTTATACTGTTCTGATAGTTCTTTACCATTCGTAAGTACTGTCAAAAATATTATTCATCATTCTACTCAATTCCTACATACAGTTTGGCTAATGTGCAGGCTAGAAGTAGACCATCTTGGTTTTTGGTGAGACTAAATGGCCTTTTAGAGTATTTCTTAAGAGTGGGAGCTGTGCACCAAAGTGGATGTATTAATCTTGTTAAAAACCCTTCACCAGTCAATTTGTGTGTTTTAAAACAATTTCTTCACAATCCTATTTTACTCAATTTAAAAAAAATAAACCCAAATCATTTGGATCCCACTTAAACCATTAGCACGTTTACCTCGTTTTAGTCTTTCCATGGCACTTTTACTCCCAGCATAAGTAGGCCTAATTTCTTTTCCTAATTCTTCTATGATAGCCAAAAGTTCTGCATACTTGCTCTGTGGTACTTGACTGCTACCAGTGCCCTGCTTCCCGAAAAAAAAGCAAAAGAAAGAAAGATCTGAATTAGACCAAAAATAATTCACATGAATGCAGAAATTGCAATCCCAAATTATCACAAATAGTGCAATTCTACTCATGTTTATTTGGAAATGAAATCCCACTGTGTTCATTGAAGGTTACCCACAATTAAGTCTGTGTAGGATTTACTGGAACTTGAAAAAAATACTTTTTCGGCCTACAAATCCCACACTGTGATAATCCAGAAAGTACTGTTTGAAACCTCTAGATCAGCCTGAAGTGTGCACTTTAACCAGACTGTGCTAGTGCTGATTGATTATTAGTTTGGGCTGTGTTGTAAACCAGGAAGTAAACCCTACTCAACCTTACTTCAAAGTAATGGCATCTAAAATTTAGTTATTTCCATCCTGGTTTCTAGCTCAAACTTCCCAAACGTAGGCCTTCCACATATCTTTGACTGCTGCCATTGGAAACGTGGTGCACTGAACCAACAGTTGCTCTTTTCTCAGGGTCCAGGAGTGGTGGTGATATAGAGGGTAGGCAAAGTTTGCCAACTCCAAGTAGCTTCTTTCTCTAAGGCCTTCAGAATTTTCTTCCCTGCCACCACTGCCTGTGTTCGTCTAGTTTCTGGCAAAGCACACCAATAGGATCCCAGCCATGTGTACCCATCAGCCCATGACAACATGCTGAGAGTTGTAATTTAGTACCCAGAGGTCCTCCAAAAGAGGGTTCAAATCCTATTCCCATACAACAACTAAGTCTATATCTATACACACAGTATGCCTATTTATATCAATACACTATGTCATAATATGTCATAATGGCAAACAATACTATGATTAAATTCTTCCTATGCTTTCTGTTGTGTCTCCTCTTTCTCTGTCTTCGCACCACAATTTATTTTGAAGGATCAAGTTTATGGATGGAACAAGCACACTCAGATGATGATGGTGATGCAATGATGAAAACAGGAGAGGCGAAAATACATGAAGCCAACTCCCACATGGCATAACTAGTGAACATGCCAAAGTCTCATTTGTTACCAGAATTAATCATTTAAACCCATTTTCAGCCCCCAAGCTGTTTTAAGGTAGGGTGGAACTGACCATCAAGTGACTTCCAGTTTTTTTTAAAGGACTCCATGAGATTAAATCAGCAAATGGGTGTTGAATACATGGCAAACTTGTTAGCTGCACCTCCTAAAGAACATGACGATCCATTCTGGATTCATTGCTCCCTCCTGGCAGGGATACGTGTGGCAAGAACTGAATGAGAGCCAGCTCATCGGCTGACATCAAACCCATATGGCAGCAGCCCAGAAGGAACGTTAAAATGAGACTAGAGGTCTTACCTGCACTCCTTGTGTGTAGCCTAGAGACGGTGGCCCGTAGTCATTTATAAGCTGCCTGTATTGCCCAGAGCCTGCCATGCTTGTGGAAGGAGAGTGTACACTCCCAGCTTCAGAGAAATGAAGTAGAAGAACAAGGGTGATTAATTCTCCCATGACAGCTACATCAATACCTCTTAATATACATTTTGGAGCAAAATCAACATTTCTCTTCCTCAATCCATTAACAACCATTAGAAGCTATGGTAATAATACAGAGATTAAAATTACATAGGTAGACACAAACACAAACAAGGGAAAAGCCATCTTATAATAACCTGGCATTTATTAAGCTGATTCCAGAAAAACAATAAGGTCACATTTCCTAAGTGCTCAAAGCTTGCCATGTTTTTAATTTCCTTCCACCTACTTCACACTCCAGCTGGGCTTAGATTTAGCTTGGACATTCTGATAGATCCCAGAAAGTCAACAGATATTGTTATTCACATATTACAGATTGAAGCTAAAAGAGAACAGTGCACCTAAAATCTATAAGGGAAACGCCAACAAAAAGCTGGAGGATACGCTAGGAAAATGACTATGCTTAAGGACATGGAAGAGGACATTTGTCCAAAAATTCTCATTGCATTTTTCCAGTGCAGGGGAATTGTGAGGGTAGGATTCTGTGTAGTTTTAAAATGTTTTCAAGAAGATATTTTTGGCCTATCACCTGATTTAGCATCGTGGGAGTCCTCCCCTACCAGGGCAAGTGTTTTCCTGCTCCTTTTCATAGAAAATGAGAATCCCTTGCTGGCCATATTGCCCATCTGGTGATCAGGAGAGAGTTCGCCTCAATTCTTATGCAGAGCTATGTACACACAGGGTAATTCTATGAAGGCAGGAGACAACTTTATACCAAATCAGACCCTTTCGCTCACTACTGCCAACACTCGATTAATTTTGGTTCCTTGGGGTTTTAAGCACTAATTCCTTCAAGGAAATGCTGCCAGAGATGGGACATGGGTCGTCTGGCCAGCAAAGCTTATGCTCTAGCACTGAGTGCAGGCCTTCCCCTTTGAAACGTGATGTCCTATGAAAAGCTCAAACAGTAGGCTTATGTGGGGACTAGGCAGCAAGGAACCACAGAGCAGGGCTAGCAAACCAAGAGCCATAGTGGGAACCATGTGAATGGTCTCCAAGTCAAGTTGCCATCCCCCTGTACCTTCTCCCACGCAGGTATCCCTCGCAACACACTCAAGCTTTCACTAGGGGCCACTACTGAGGTTAAAGGCTGTTTCTCTCAGCCCACCCCAACCACACACTGCCCCCCCCTCCCCACCACCAGCCAAGGGAGAACCTGGCCTGTATTTACCTGTTCCTTTGCTGTCCGCCTCAAAAAGGTAGTAAGACATTGCCGCAATCACCCAAGTGCCTTATCAGCACCACTGCAGAAGGCCCGAGAACAAAAGAAAGGGTTTGGACTTGGCTACGGAGCCAGCCAGCCTACCCCTCACCCACCCCCCGTCGCACAATGCAGATGGCCACGTTCGCAACTGTGCCAGCTAAGCCCAGCTGGAGAGTGAGGGTGGGTGGAAAGAAATTAAAAATGTATCCAATCTCCCTTCAAAATGGCACAAACGCTGAAAGAGCTCCTTCAGCCAGAGGCCACCAAGTCCAGCCCTGCTGCTAGAAGGAAGGCCGAGCCACCCAGACACTTCTCCTCCTCCAAGCTGTGGAGGAAGCCAGGGAGTCAAAAGGGGAACAGAGGGGCCAAAGGTGCTTTGTGGATGGCAGCRAAACCCTMCTATCAATGATGTTGCTTTCTTTCAGTAGATGAGCCCTGGCTCAGGATTAGAACACATGCTTAGGCATGCAGAAGATCCCCATCATCCTTTGGGGGGGGGGGGGGAAGAATCAAGAAACCAGTGAAAAGGGAGATGTATCCCTGAGACCCTCTGAAAAGTGCACACCATTGCAGTAGACCAGGCATGCCACTCACCACCCACATGGGCAGCCCCAGGCTCTCTGAAAACTCCAAACTCAGCCCATTTGCAAAGACTGATTGACAAAAGAACCTGGGAATTGTGCCAGCAGAAGCCAACACTGAGTGCAACTCTCCCTTAAAACAAGGTTTAAGACTCCCTCCACTCATCCTAGCAAAAAAAAAAAAAAAACCTACAAATTAACCCACAAAAAAACAACCCAAAACAGATTTTTCTTTAATCCAGAGATGACGCCGATCCCAGTTTCCATGGAAAGGTCTAGTTCAACTCACAGAGGGCACTAGTGGTGGAAATGGCCCCAGAACTTCCTAAGTCACCCACCATTGGAACAGTCTTGGAGTTGATGGAACAAAGGTTGGATTCGGCATCAGGCAGTTTCATTGTTACTATAAATCAGGGCAGGCATCGTGACAGCAGTGAGATGTCAGACTGCAGCTCCCATCAGCCCTAGCCAGCCACCAGTGGAGAATGCTGACACAAGCAGCACTCCAACAGCATTTGGAGGGCCATAGGTTGTCCACTTTCTCAAGGGGATCATTGACCAAAAGAACAGGAAAGTTGCCTTTGGGGTTGTTCCACTGTGGGCCATGCTATATACCATCTCCCCCAAGATGAATCTGGCTCATCCTGCAAAGGGCAGAACAAGCCAAACAAATAGAAATAAAATAATAATGGAGTTGCCAACATTTTAAATTAGTGATACTCCTATGAATGCACAAAAATTCCCTTTCCCCCACTGTTTGATTTCCATTTATATAAATAAAAATGCAATTTCGTTTGTGGGATTAACATACCTCAAAAACCACTGGACGAACTGACACCAAATTTGGACAGAATATGCCTAACAACCCAATGAATGACCATCACTGAAAAAAATTGATTTTGTCATTTGGGAGTTGTAGTTGCTGGGATTTATAGTTCACTTACAATCAAAGAGCATTCTGAACTCCACCAATGATGGAATTGAACCAAATGTGGCACACAGGACTCCTATAACCAACAGAAAACACTAGAAGGGTTTGGTGGGCATTGACCTTGAGTGTGGGAGTTGTAGTTCACCTACATCCAGAGAACAATGTGGACTCAAACAGTGATGGATCTGGCCCAAACTTGGCACAAATATTCCATATGCCCAAATATGAACACAGGTGGAGTTTGGGGGAAAATAGACCTTAACATTTGGGAGTTGTAGTTACTGGGATTTATAGTTCACCTACAATCAAAGAGCATTCTGGACTCCACCAACGTCAGAATTGGGCCAAACTTCCCACACAGCACCCCCATGACCAACAGAAAATACTTAAGGCCATCCAGTCCAACTCCCTTCACCAGGGCAAGAAAACATAATCAAAGCCCTCCTGACAAAGAGCCATCCAGCCATAGATAGAGATATATATATATGATTCACACACACACACAGATATAGTATCATAGATTTTAAAGGGACCCCTAAAGAAGGACAATTATATGTTACATATTCCAGAGTAGGCAAACCAAACAATCTCTACATCGACACTGACAAAGAAACAAGAAATACTGTTTCCCCACAAGCATAAAGAAATTACATATATTAGAAACCAACACTTTCTCATTACTTTATTTTCCAGATCACCAGACTGGGCCACAGCAATGTGTGCAGGGGACGGCTAGTACCATATAAAATCTTTGCTTGATTTTTATGCAACCTAACCCTAGTTATCCATGAGGAATTTTACAAGAGTGAGGGTAGACAATTGGATAAGGTAGTGAAAGCAGAACATGTATTTAAACCAAATCAGGAACATTCTTCAGAGAGGTCATGCACATCAGTATTGTAATGGTTGCGATTTCTTGTCATGCAGAGCTTTCTCTCACTTTCCTCCCTAATTGCTGTGGATAATAAAAAGTTAAGTGGGTAATTAACTGCAACATGACAATAAACCCTTTAAAAACCCTTTGTTGTTGTTATTGTTGTCGCCTGTAGCTCAGTAAATGTGTAAGGCAGTTCCAGATGTATTGGAGCACAATTCCCATCATCTACAAGCTAAGCATGGTCAGTAAGGGATGGTGGGGGAGTTGTAGGCCAACAAACCTGGGAGACACTAGGTTGGGGAATGGGGTTGCCATCTCTCCTTTGTTTTCCTTTCTTTTCTTAGCAGAGCTCCTTCAACTTTAATATTTACAAACAGGCAGAAATTCAGCAAGAACAGCAGGCAACAGTTCTGCAGATTTTCTCGGCTGAAGAAGACAGGCAGATAATGTCTTTCTTTCTTTCTTTCTTTCTTTCTTTCTTTCTTTCTTTCCAACTAGTGAACCTTTCTTTCAAAGTGAAAAAAAACCAAAGTGAAAGGGTGTGAAATCTGACTTCAAAGACAGAGTGACCACTTTGAATTTGGTGTGTGTGAGTGAAAGAGGGAGTAAGTGTAAAGAGCATTTAATGTGAAGGCATGAGAAAGCAGCCTTCAACCCTGGCTGACCAAACCCGGCTTCTGAAAAAGGGAGGTGGGAGGGAGAGAGCATTTGCAGTCCTATCACTGTGAATCCGATATATTCAATTGCCAGGGCTCCTTTGTCTGACTCTCTTGGCCTTGAGCCAGGGTACTGGCATTTAGTGCTAGCAAGAAGAAGGACTGGTGCACAAAGCAGACAGAGAAACCATTTTGGAAACTGATGAGCACACACTCTCAACTGCCCTCCTCCCTCCGTTGAACCTAAAGAGTTTCTGTACAAAAAAAGATGGTGAACAAGAAGCAGCACATTTCCAACTGGGATAAACTGAGCATCCCTAAGAAATGCTGTGAAAAGATCTTCTTGAAGCGAACATATATGTATAGCTATACAAAGAAATATTCTCAGGTATTGTTGAACTGCATAACAGATTTGGAGCGTGACTGATCCAATTGCCTCAGTCATCTCTCCAGGGTGGCAGATGGCTCTCTCGCTCCAAGTGCGTCCAAAATGTCGCAATTATTCTTACATCCAAAACACAGCACAAAAAAAGCACTAAAAGGGAGGGGGATCAGCATTCCAACACAAGGTCTGCAACTATGGCTGCGGAAGAGACAGACTTCCATTGAAACCCAAATCCTGTTGCTTCTGTCCCTTATTTTTCCTGGCCTGAAGATCTCTCTCACACACACACTTCCTCTCTCTCAGTTTTTCATTTGCAACAAAAAGGAAATAAGATTTTCTCATCTTGAGATAACTGGAATAGTCTAAAGTCAGGGTAAATATCAGATATCTAAATAGAAACTTTGCTAATCTGAGGCAAAGCAAAACAAGAAAAAGCGCAAAAGTAACTTTATGTGCAGACCAATTCAGTAGAAGAACTGGAACATTAGGGCATGATCTGTTGAGAAAGGTCTCCTCCACAAGCCCCATACTTGGACCCTGAAGACTTTGGAAAAGTGGCTTTTTTGGATTACAAACCCCGGGAACCTGGTACAGAGAAGGGCTGTAAGAGCTCTGGAAGTCTAAGGGTCATCATCTAAAAGTGTAGCTTCTCCAACCTGCGTGAGGTCCAAGCGGGATTGCATGTCCCCCATTCATGATTTACAGGGCAATGGGAACTTGAGCCACCTTTGTTCATAGTCAGTGGGGTTTGTGCAGGAAAAAAGAACAGGCGGTGGATTGGAGTAAGAAACAGGATTCTGTAACCGAAATTCACAGCCATAGTCAGGAGCCAAGATAACTGTGGTCTTCCAGATGTAGCTGGATTCAAACCCCCACCAGCCTCAGCCAGCTTATCCAATGGCCACAGGGAGCAGGTATAGCCATCCAGCAACAACTAGAGGACGACAGGTCACAAAATCCTCCTTTTAGTCCTAGCCACCAATTTAACCAGTGATCTGTAAGGTCAGAAGTCTCTAGGTCAGAAGTTGGCAAGCCTTGGCCTGCCAAGGCTATATATCCCTGGGGTTGGGAGTGCCAGCAGTGGGAGGTGCTGAAGCCAGCCAGGGACAGGATCAGGGCCAGCAATAGGTGATTCCTCCACATTTTTCTGCCTCTGTTACCTCTTTCGCACCCTTGTACACAACAGGGACAGAGGCCCGAGGTGGTCATGTGCAAAGGACCCAAGGCTGCAGGTGGTGAGGCTAAGGTGGCAGGGGTTATTCTGGACCTTGAAACATACAACTTATGGCAACACTAAGGAAATCTTCTATGCTTTCTTTAGACATAAGATTCATTTCGAGGGTGACTCTGACTTTACCCACAGGAATCCCCCCCTCCACATACTCACATTCTCAGTTATTACCACACTTTACAAAGTTTAAAGAAACTTGGATTGAGGCTTTAAAAGAGCAAGTAATAATAAAATGAAAGCAAAGCACAGAGGTGCAAGGAATCTAGGAAATGAAATCAAAATCACACCAGAATGTAAAGCAATGGGGAAAAAGCAGAACTGATAGACATATATGAAAGAGAAGACAGAAAGAACCGCTTTTGCACCTAAAAATTAATTTGTAAGGAGAACACCACTATAAACACTCTGCCCCAAACTTCCCAAATAAAGAGGAACTGTTTGGAAATGTGACCTTTTGGACTATAACTCCCAGAATCCTCAGTCTTCATTCTAGAAATGGTAGTCCCAAACGGTAAATATTTCAAGCCCTAGTGAGAAAGCTTTGAGGATACACCATTGCTACATTAGGTTAGGATCATTAAGTTTATGTCAAAAAGAGTTTGGCTAAATGCTGCTGACTATGTGAATGGCTGTCAATGAAAAGTCATTGTGTTTCTGCAGATCATTGTGAAAAGGACAGGGGAGGAGGCTGTGTCACACCCACAGGACACAATTCCTCTGGAACTGCCACACTGAGAGAAGGAGGTGTCTGGGGAAATCACCCACAGTTCAACCCCTGCCCCATCCGGATAAAGGGTTTTGAGCTCAGAGAATCAGAATTGAAAAAGACCTCCATAAACAGCCCTGACAGATGGAGAGTCAACCTCTGTTTATCAGGTGAGCTGGAGCTAGTGAGAAATGCCTTCTGCCTGAGAGCTGCTGCTGTCAGACAACAGGATGCAACACCGGGCAGGAAGATGCAGCACTCACCAATGCCAC